GTTCTTTAAAACCATCTATGTGGTGGTTGTGATGTCTAGCCACTTTCGTGGCAGCCAAGGTTACTGTGAAGGCTGTGGTGGGCCACCCACATAGAGGTGATATTTTTGGCATGCTCTTTGGTGCTGGTGGTATGACTGGTTGTGGGGGGGTCTGGTCCCCAGCTCTATGCCTCCCAGGCAGGCCCCTGAGGTGCTGGCTGTGTGCTTGGGTGTGAGTGGGGGATCCGGTCCCCACAGTGCTGGCGGTGTGCCTGGGTGTGGGCAGGGGATCCAGTATGACTGTTTCTTATCTGGACTACTTTATACACTTCCTCACTCAAATTCATTCTTACACAGTTCCAGTGATGGTAAAACACTCAACCTTTTAAAACTGTGATCCCCAGTAAGAAATACACTTTATATTGCAAGCCAGTATATATGTAAATAATTGAAACAGAAGTTTCATGAAAAGATCCTTACATTTACTATGTGCTATGTAATCTGATATTTTCTATTCTTTTCTGTTTCAGTTTTTAAAATGTTTGCCATCTACTAAATTGATTCCAGAATTGGAAAAACACTGATCGGACAACTAATATGGCTATATTATTTCTTTTTGAAACTGTTGCATGGCGTCTTACTGTTTTCATGATAACGTTGATGCTTCCATTATCAGCGTACCACAACCTTCATGACCTGACCCTTATCTAGTTTTCCTGACCTATTATTTGCCCGATCCTCTTGCTGGGGCTCACGTTTTGTTCCAATAAATTAGTAAAACTTTTTATAGTTCCTTGCAGTGTTCCTTTGTTTATCCTGTCTACCCTGTTGAAAGTCTTTCCATCTGTTACTGCAGGGCTTTACTGGTTACTCCTACCCATTTCTAAGACTTAAGTCAGGCACCTGTAACCAGGAAGCCTTTCTTCACACCACACTCCTTGTCCTGCCTGGGTTAGGTAGTTCTTTATAACATAATGTGACTATCTATGTTGTTACCTGTTCATTGTTATGTGCTTTTATCTTACTATCCCACAAGACATTGAATATATGAGAGAGGACAAAGATGTCTCTCATTAAACTTATCCCATATCTTTAGCATTTAACATGTTGGCATTGTTTGGGTACATGGAAAAAAAAATGAATAAAACTGAAGATTCAGCTGATGTCCCTTAAGACCTATTACCTAGATTTTGTGGTTATATTTCTAGGTGCTTATTTTTTAGATTTTAATATACTCATAGAGACATGGGTTTAAGGATAATAGAAACTTATAGAGACATGAGTTTAAGGTTTAATATACTCATAACATATAGATGGCATGGTTTAAGAACCCAGCTTTTTCTGCTATAAATATTCTCTCAAGATTTCAATAATTAACAACTGACCGTGGCAATAGTCTATAATTTCATTATACCTAATATTATAATAAAGTTTGAAGAGTGGCGGAGGACAAATGACATAAATACAAGATTTGACTTTTCATTTTTCCATGTCAGATTAGTGGTAGGTGGCAAATAATACAGAGGGTTATTGAGTCATTGTGGCTCAGGTAACTCTCATGAACCGAGACCTTTAAGTCAATGAAGAGCTGAAATTCTGCCACCTAAGCAGCACTATTCACTTATGTCATACCTTAAAAGGCAATTGAGTTGTAGGATTTTAGATATGGAAATGGTTCTTTAAAACTGAGGAGCTGTGCCACTCCTTAAGCCTGACAACTACATTTCACTGACTCCTATGCCTGCTGGGTTCTGATGGAAGTAAGTCCTCAAGTGAGATTAGAAGATAGGATGGAGGTAGCTTTCTTGTCCTTGCCAGTGACAGTAGCATTAATGGGAGTGTGGGTCCCTGGGCTCCAGCTCTGCAGCAGAGGTGCCAGTGCTGGTAGCCCCAGCAGCTTCAATAAGAGTGTGGGCTTATGGGATCTGAATAAACCACATTTCCCTCTTTAATTCCTTTAGCTCAGCCCACAAGTTGTAACCATTTCCCTGTATTAAACGCTCCTCTGTTTGAAATATCTAGAATAATTTTTCTCTTCCTGACTAATATAACCTATAAATAAATTGAGGCTCTGATAGGTTAAGTGACTCGCCCGTGGGCACATAGCAATGATCTTGAGTGGCTAGCAATTTTTACTGTTAATTAATAAATCTGCACACTATTGAAAGTCTTTTTAGTGCCTTTTTTAAAAAGAGGGGGTGGGTTTTAAGAGGTTATGTAAGAGCTGGTGGCCACACAGAAAATATGGGGATTACCAATATTCATATTACCAGGTCCCCCCCCAATTTAGAAGATAAGTGATGTCATGAAGTTTTATGATCATTTATTGCATAATACACTAGATGTTGAAAGTAGAGATATTGGCATTTGACCCTGTGACATGTCCTGGAATGTGTCTTTGCACAAAATTTTAATCATTTGGGTTTTCTGGTGGGGCATCTATAGAAGGATAGGATTATAATAGCAGGGGCCTTGTACAGATTGGCTTGGTATATGTCTGTATGATGGCTTTTCTACTTGCCAAAATTGTTTAGATAAGTTAAAGAATACAATATTGTTTGATCTAATGATGTTTAAAGTCCCATAAAATCAGTAGCTGTGAATAATCAATATATCTGTGATGAATAAATGGCTGACTTATTTAACTTTTTGGGGTGGTTAAGAATGTGTCAAATAATTGAATTCTGACTTGTCAGTCATACTTCTAAATTGTTATTGTATTTTATCTTACAATTCCTTTTTTAAAATTTTTATTTATTTAATTTATTTATCTTACAATTCTTTACAATATAGAAGAATCTTATTTGAGTGTTTACCTCTAGTCATGTTTTAAATCTAAAGATACCCAGTTTTGAATAAACTGGAAGCCTTTCTAAAAGACTATAATTTTAAATTATAGTATTCCATTCATATAATAATTGCTACTTCACATATTTACAACAGACTAAATAAAATATAATACCCTAAATAAAATGTAGTAAACTTAGAGAAACAGAACTAATAGTTTAAATGATTGCTGAACTCTTAATGTCTATTTTTCAATTTTGAACTTGAAAATCAGAAACTTATAACCTAAAACAATGTTTTTTTCTGTTTTTCTCTCTAAAGCTCTTTCACTATGCCTGGGTCACTTCCTTTGAATGCAGAAGCTTGCTGGCCAAAAGACGTGGGAATTGTTGCCCTTGAGATCTATTTTCCTTCTCAATATGTTGATCAAGCAGAGTTGGAAAAATATGATGGTGTAGATGCTGGAAAGTATACCATTGGCTTGGGCCAGGCCAAGATGGGCTTCTGCACGGATAGAGAAGATATCAACTCTCTTTGCATGACTGTGGTTCAGAATCTTATGGAGAGGAATAACCTTTCGTATGATTGCATTGGGCGGCTAGAAGTTGGAACAGAGACAATCATTGACAAATCAAAGTCAGTGAAGACTAATTTGATGCAGCTGTTTGAGGAGTCTGGGAATACAGATATAGAAGGAATAGATACAACTAATGCATGCTATGGAGGCACAGCTGCTGTCTTCAATGCCGTGAACTGGGTTGAGTCCAGCTCTTGGGATGGTATGTTACATGCCTCTATTCCAAAAAAAAATAAAAAATCTCTCCTTGAGGATGAATAGACCCAGATGACCTTTTAATTAATGCTATATGCAAACTTTTACTACTTATACTTGTTTGAATATATTCAGAAAGATAGCTATGACTTTCAGCCTATCTGAATTGGTTATTCAGGATAGGATAAATGGTCTATTCAAATGGTCTATTCAAAATTTAGTCAGAACATTTTCTTTCTTATCAAAGACGGGGAAAGCATATTTTTGGGAAAATATAACAGACTTCAGTTTATATATATGATATTCACAGTATTGACCACTTTCTTGTGAAATAACAAAAAATGTTTTTCAGGACGTTATGCCCTGGTAGTTGCAGGAGATATTGCTGTATATGCCACGGGAAATGCTAGACCTACAGGTGGAGTTGGAGCCGTAGCTCTGCTAATTGGGCCAAATGCTCCTTTAATTTTTGAGCGAGGTGAGTGTTTGGGAAAGTTTTTTTTTTTATTAGCACAATATACTGAGAAATTTGAAAATAGAAATAGAAGCTACATTTACTGAATGTTCGTTAAATGCAGGCATTACCTGCTAAGTGCTTTATGTATGTTTTCTTATTTAATAATCTTCATAGCAATTTTATGAGTTAGGTAGTGTGATCCCAATTTACAGAGAAGTGAAATGGGTTAAAGTAGGGTTTAAAGTAGTAACTTGCCCATTGTCTTGGAAAGTTTAATTTGTCTTCAGTTCAGAAGAGCAACTGTGATCTCCCAGTTAGATTTATAAAACTTGCATGAAAAGGTTGTTTATCAAAGGAGTCTTAGGACTGTCCATGGATACTGTTGTATTTCATTTCAATTATATTGAAATATATTGGCTTCACCTTGCAATTTCTGTACTGCAAGTGATGAGAGTTGATTAGATAGTTAATGGAAGGTCCTTAGATAATGCAATATATTTACTAACATATAAACATCAAGGAACAGAAATATATAGACATCTCCCTTTTTGGTTCTAATAGGGCTTCGTGGGACACATATGCAACACGTCTACGACTTTTACAAGCCTGATATGCTTTCTGAGTATCCTATAGTAGATGGAAAACTCTCCATACAGTGCTACCTCAGTGCATTAGACCGCTGCTATTCTGTCTACCGCAAAAAGATCCGCGCCCAGTGGCAGAAAGGTGGGTTTTACCCATTTTCCTTGGTTTTGTTATCTTTTGAGGACAGTATTATGTGCTGGGTTTCTTTAGTGAGAAACTACTTCGTATGCATTCTTCATTAGTGTCCTTTTTACCATTTCTTCCTTAACCACCAAACACTATTTTCCTATAGTTTCTAGGTATATGTAATTTAGGGCAAGAGGTTTTGAAATGAGATATATCTCTGCAAAAATACTTAGGTTGATTTACGCCTTCTAAGAAAATCAAAGTGGGATAGAAGAAAGTAATTTGAATTTTGTTTTTCTTTTGAGAGAGGTATTTTAACAAGTTTTAGTTTACAACTTCAATTTAGAGAAAACTGTTATGAAAATAAATCAATCTCTTTGCACTTGACCTGTTAATTCATATTTGCTTTTCTAGCATCATCATTAATTTAAATCTTTAACCCTGAAAAAGTTCTTGAGGCAGTGAAAAGGACAGTATTTGAATTAATGCTATCATAACACACAGTATCATATAAAGTATGCTTTTTCTGTAGTTCAACTTTACTTTTTAGAGGTTGTGAGAGAGGGTTAAAAATAATATTCAGGGGCCAGCCCGTGGCTCACTCGGGAGAGTGCGGTGCTGATAACACCAAGGCCCTGGGTTCGGATCCCACATAGGAATGGCCGGTTCGCTCGCTGGCTGAGCGTGGTGCTGACGACACCAAGTCAAGGGTTAAGATCCCCTTACCGGTCATCTTTTAAAAAAAAAATAATAATAATAATAATAATAATAATAATAATAATAATAATAATAATAATAATAATAATAATAATAATAATAATAATAATAATAATAATAATAATAATAATAATAATAATAATAATAATAATAATAATAATAATAATAATAATAATAATAATATTCAGTAACAAATATTAAGGAACATAGCAGCTCTGGATAAGAAGCATTCTTTTAAAAATGTCATAGTATTTAACAGTATGTTTTTAATAGGACAGTAATTTTCTAACTTTTTTATTAGGACCCGCAGTAAGAAGTATACTTTACATTGTGTGTGTGTGCTAAACTGAAACAAAAGTGTCATGAAATTACTTACCAGTATTGCAAGTTATATAGTTTGCTATTTTTCTACTCTATTCTATTTTTTTAAGTACTCTTTTATTTTAAATACTGGTTCTGACCCACTAAATTGGTTTCATAACCTGATAATGTGTAATGACTCTTAAATTTGAAAATTAGTGATGTAGTAGTTAGTATATATTGTTTTATCTCTGGATGTCTTTAAATACACATTCTAAACTATAGAGAGATTTCATTATACAGTGTATTTTTAGTGGCCGTTTAAAGATATAAAAATATCCTAACCTTGTTTTGAAGTCAGTCTCTATAATTTTATGGCTTATGTGAATTTCATAGTTTTCCTTGGACTTCTCTTTCAGAGGGAAATGATAAAGATTTTACCTTGAATGATTTTGACTTCATGATCTTTCATTCACCATATTGTAAACTGGTTCAGAAATCTCTAGCTCGGATATTGCTGAATGACTTCCTTAATGACCAGAACAGAGATAAAAATAGTATCTATAGTGGCCTGGAAGCCTTTGGGTAAGAGGAGTTATTATGATTTTTTTTGCTATCTATATTAGAGCATTTTTAAACTATTTGTACAGATCTGAAAAAGTTATAATCAGAAGGATCTTAGTCATCTGGTCTAATATATTAGACCAAAATATATTTATGAAGAAACTGAGTCTCAGAGAGATGGTGGTTTATCTCACAAATTCTTTAGCCATTTCCACTCAGATTTTCTGATTTCCTCCTTTTAGGTCTGTTCCCATCATTGCCATGATAATATAACTGCACAAGTGCCTGTGCTCACTACAACAGCCTCTTAACTCTTCTCCCCGCTTCTCTCGCCCCTGTGCCACTATGGAAGTCTGCTTCTTACTCCATCCATCTTTCTCTCACTTTTTTTTTTTTTTTTTTTTTTTCGTGTCCGGCAACAGATCGCAACCCTCAGTGTCGCGC